TTTTCAGTGTCGTTTGTCGTTGTCGTCCAAACACCGGCCAACGATCTCCGGGCCTATTTCCGGGATTAGGGTTTTTGAGAAATTGAAAGCTTCGGTCCTCCGTGTAGTAGTGCACGTCATTGGTCCAGAGCCCGTAAAATACTCGTGGCACAGGAGACATAAACTTAATATATATTGGAACGGCGCTGCACAATGGCACATATTATTGCCATAAAGGGTCATTCTCTTAAGTGCCCCCCGGCACACGTTTCGCCGTGTACACGATACAGTCGGGTTTTCGGGATTTTTATGCGTTTTTCGGGATTTTTATTTTTTCCTCCCCCACCCTCTCTATCCACTTCTGTCCCGAGGAGTCTTGTATGCGTGTTCGTGTGCGGTATGCACGGGCTGGGGCGCCTGTTAGTGTGTGTCGTGCGCGATAAAACCCTGTCGGTCCAATAAAAACGCAGTTAAACTTTTTTTCTTTCCAATTTTTCCACTCCACACCGCACGGCACGGGCATGATCGTTTTCTTTACGATCGGTAATTTGTGACCGGGTTTTTGCTTATTTTCCGGATTAGAAAAACCGTTTTTTCTTCTCGTGCGCATTATTCGTGTACGGCATCGGTCGTTTTTATGTTCGTTCTCAAGGAGCTTGCGGGTACGACGGTGCGTTTGTGTAAAAAGAAGAGAGATTACCGCGCACCGAAAAAGGTTGATTTACTATATGGTTTACGGAGCCTATATTGCCCCTGCCACTGTTAACTGTTTTTATGTACACACATAAATGTATATATATATATATATATATAAGTTTTCTCTCCCTGTGTGCATTAAGTGATGAACAGCTCGATAGTCAATAAATAATTTGAGATTACCAACAATTTAATAACTCTATCGAATGCTGCATGTGTCGCCAAATAGTGCAAGTTTTGAATTTTCGGTTTAAAAAAAAAATTCGACGCTAAAATTACCAACAACACAAATTACGTTACGGTTTTAACACCGACATATTAAAAATGTACAAGCTGTGTATGACATTTCCTACTCGTCATTTACCGTGTGTATAACAAAAATATATAAATGTATTATAAATATATTTATAATATTTACAAATGTGTATCGTACTGCACGCATTTGGACGAAGAAGCGAACGACAATGGTAATTGTACTTTTTTTGTTCGCTTTTCAATATAAATTACACCATCCGCAATTTTATTTCATTTTTTTTGTTAAAAAGGTTAAAAAGCCGTTTTGCAATTTAAATGACCGTACACACGGAACCGATGATCTTCGGTGGCGGCCTAAAGGTTGACTTTGTGTATACGTAGTTAAAATTACTGCGCACGGAACGAGCGAGGTTGTGGAAGGGAGAAAAAGAGTGACGAACGACGGACAGAGATAAAAAAAATAAAAAAAACCGAACGTAACAGAGATCAGAATTCATAATGCCCCAAAGGCCGTGCATGCACGTACAGGACGAACACGACCGGGTAGAGGGAGGGTTTGGGTCAGCACATGAATAATTTCCCATAGCTGCCGCGCGGCCGACGGTAATAATTTGACGTCGCTTTGTGTGTGCGCACGCGCTGTGCGCGTACAATATTCGAATGAATAAATTTTCGTCGGTCAAATTAGTGGTTGTATTATGTGTACATATATTATACACGCGCGCTCAGGCACTCGCATTTACACATATATTTTACGTACTGGCACGCCGGGCAGTCCGTCGAGGGGTCTCTCTCCCTCTTTGTCCCTCCTTCCCTCGCTACATCTTCCTCTCCATGGCCCCAGACCACCGCCGACGGGGAAACCGAACCGGCCGACTGACTGTACGACGCATTAACGTATTACGTTTTAATATACTTAATGGGTTATCGTCGTTGTTTGTCGAAATCGAACGTTTTCGTGTACGACGTGCATGCGTGTTTACCCCTTCGGTCGAGTCGGTCGTCGTCGCAGAGCAGATCATAACCCACACCGGCGGGATCGACGCACTTAAGTCTCTCGTCTAACGGAGCCGTGAGCGAGCGGTGAAAATTTGCACGCAAACGCGTATTTTATAAAATGGATAAGCAAACACACGGGCAAAGTTTAAAGTCAACACGGACTCGGCGCTTATAAACTTTCAATCTACAAATTGAATATATCATACACCTCGTATCCTCGTCATGCGTATACGTATAATGTCGTGTATAAACGTATGTATATTAAATATATATAAATTTAAATTGGAAATGAGTGTTACGTGTACATAACACTGCACGTATAAGTTTCGAGTGGTTTCGATCGGAGGGATTCTATGAAAGGGTTTAATTCCCTTTTAGTCAAATTTTAATTAATGTTATTCTTTTATTCATGGAAAACCGTTCGACCGGTCACATATATATTTATGTGAAAACTCTCCTGCGCAATTCACGCGTCCAAACGGGCACAGGACCGGCGGACCATGCCAACACCCGGTCACAGTTTACCGACGAGAAACCTTGAACTTTTTCAACAATCGGTCTAGGTATTTTTCTTTTTTTCTCTTCCAATTTCATTTCAGAATTATATTGAACGGAACAGGTCTCACCGCACATAGACATTCCGAACCCGCAAGATTCTCCTACTCTTCCTCCATTCCCACCCCCGATGAACTTTGCGGTGAGACGAGACGCGCGACGCATTCTCCTTTCGTTTTTCGGTGCATTGTGCACGACCGCTAGTGCACTGACAATACGCGTTCGTTAAGACGATGCCGGAGCTTAAGTATTAATCGCTGGCAGCGCGTTGCATTGTTCGCGCTTTTCGGTCGATTTACGCGGTTCTTCCGTAGAATATTTACGTATTATGTGTACACAATTTACGTACTAGTCTGTGCGCAATTGGGAGCCTACACCCTCTCACTCACTAACCACTACCTACCGCTCGTCGACTGTAAATCAAACGGCGCGCGGCGGCGGGTGTGAATTTTTTTTTTCCCCAATCGTTCGCCCTCTCAGGCGTACCACCGACACTCCTTCCACGACGATGACGACGACGGTGCGCTGCACACCGTTAATCCAATATGTATCCGGAAAATTGTGTATTCCCTCCGGTGTTATATACGCGAGGCATAGAAAAAAAAAAATATCTATATAAACTACACGCGCGTCTTTGCCGCCGAGTTAATAATAATAGAACCGAGAGAAAATATATAAGACGAGAAGGATATAAGTATTTCGGCAACGTCTATAGTACAGCGAGTGCGCGCTCGGAAACCTAGGGGACGGGGGAGAGGAAACGCATGTTTATAGGTCTCCGGGTGCAAAAGACTCAGCAGCGACGTCGCGTTGTTTATTAGCGTCTTTTAAAGAGTTTCACTCGACGTATCTTCTTCGCTCGCAGTTATGAAATTGGACCGCCGCCCCGACGCCACACACTCAATGCGCCACGCTCACCCTTATTTGTTCATCTGCGTGCGCGTATATAATCGTTACGTACCATGCACCCGGTTGTTGCGTACGGTTGTAAAATAAACAACTCCGGAGTTTAATATCGAGAATGTCGCAGTGCCGTAATATCGTTTTCCTCGTTTTCGCACGTCAAAAGCGTGTGTTTTTCACGGGAACGTTTATTATTTTATTGGTTTTTTTTTTTTTCATTTTTTTTTTTTCATTTCTCGTCGTTGTTTTTACATACGTACGCGAGATGACGAAATCGACACGTGAACGAAACGCTTGGGAAGCAGCTATATACCAAGTCCCTCCCCCGTCCCGTGGTAATTGGAAACGATTACGTATAAGAGAGTGAAACGTTACATACGCGCGGTATAATGCAATTTTCAAAAACGCCTTTAAAGCCTTATAAAAAAAAAAAAAAAAAAAAAATGCAACGCTCTATTCGTGCAGTTTTTCCACTCATAACTGTTTCGTAGGCGTATTTACTTGCTTCTTCCGACACGTCAGATAGACAAGTTTTCATGATGTAGGTTTATGTAATTTTTCGATTGTTGTTCACCGCGATCTCCTAACGATTAAATTAGTTTGAAAAATAATCTTTATCTTGTTTCGATTTAGACCTCCCTCTCCGTGTATATATATATATATATATATATATGGTTTTATTGTTCGTGTCTTGATGTTATAAAAGCTTTTTAATTCGAAAGTACAAAAGTTTTGATACACTATTTGCTATACCCCGCCCGGATAATAATATACGTCTGAAAACGGCCTGTGTGAGCACTTCGTTGGTTTTACACGTCCCGCCTGTCCCGTGGGCTGTAATAGGTCTGCCAGTGGCAATCTCTTTTTCCATTTATACACTTTTTCCCCGTTCCCCCGTCACTAGTTTCTCTTTTCCTTCCCGATCGGGTCCATTTACTGGCCGACTAATTGCGCTCAGCTCATCGACGGAGGTGGTGGGTCTTGAACAAATATCCTTTGGATGAAAATCTCGTTCGGAGAAGAAAAAAACGGCTAAGAGTAATGGACTGCTTTTATTCGATTCGACCGGTCTATAGTGACTCGGATGGATCGGATGTGTGTGTGTGTGTGTGTGTGTGTGTGCGTGTGCAGGTCAGAGGTAAAAGTAATCGGTTTAATCAAAAAACTCTTAGGTTTACGCGCTGGCAAAAGTTTTTCACAATGGGCAGCTCCGGACGTATTGTAGTCACTCTACACTCGTCTGTGGATATAGAGCAGTGGACAATTGACAAGTATACCCACGGTATATATATATATATATTATATATATTGAGAAAACAATGAAAGTCGTGTCCCGAGAGCAAGAGGATTGAATGCAATCCATCTTGATTGAAATCCAAACCAATTTCGATAAACACGCGTATTGTTATTCTTTGTGCACGTGTACGAGCGGTGTAATAATAACTTTTGCCCTTTGTATATTTTATTAATACGTTCGCAATTTTCTCTGAACGTATTTCTATCCAATTATTTTTCTTTTACCGTGAACGAACTTACTCGGAGAAATTATCTTCGTTTATAAATTTTATATTGTATTAACGTCTGATTTTTTTTTTTTTTTTTTTTTGTCGCAGATCGAAGACGAAGGCAACCACGGCAACGACGAGACTAGATCATTCATTCTGTCGTCTTTGGCGGCTCAAAATCAATCGCGTGTCAACTGCGTATTGTGCTCGGATGTAATGTTGGTGTTCGACCGTTATCCGTTGGTGGATGGCACTTTCTTCCTCAGCCCCAAACAGTACAATAAAAATGCCGTCGAGGTAAATATCTTATCAATGAATAATATTGGTACGCGCGATTTACTCGTCAACAATAATATCGAATCGGTCCTTGCGGATCGCTTTTGATATACGTTTTATCCTTCAACGACTTTCACGTGCGACCCTTTCATTTTCTGTATGCATAAAGTCTCATTCTTCGGTATTTCTTCTACCCTTTAGCGGCCGCTCGTTGGAATCCGGAAAAATATGCTACTGAAAAATACCCAAACTGAAGTACATATATATATATATATATATATACATGTATACATTCTTCCCTCGCTAAGGACCCGATATAAATAAGACTTATAAACATGTGTGCGTGATCGTTTGACCGTAAAAAGGACTTTTTTTTGTATGCGCCGCGTGAATGTTGACACACAAACACATACATACACGTACTTATTGTATATACACGACGAGGTAATATTTGTCAAAGCATATTTCACGCACGGTGTGCACGACTCCATACTACTACAACGGTGGTATCCTCGCACTCTCACCGCGTACCCTCGTCGAATCCGTGGTCTTTTTACCCCAGTAAACTCACACACAATGTTAGTCGGGCAGGAAGTGTTGAGATTACCGACCAGACATCTGACCCCTCCAGTTACTTTTCGTTCGGACGTCTGGTAAACACGAACGCTTTCGAAAAGTTCCCGATAAAAAGCTGTGTCCGCGAGGGATAATCCTCAGCTGTGACGTGCGTCATGTTTTTCTTGGATATTGCAGAGTACGCGCACAAATTCTCGAAAGCCGTAAGACAATATTCTTGCGTATAAATTTTAATGCCGTACAATGGAGGTTATATCATTTTTCTTACAGCCACCCTCCACGTATTCCCCATGTGCATTATGTTGTCGGAAAAAAGAAAAAACACGTTTAAACGTCATGATGTTGTCATGATATTTCTATTTTTCCTTTTCACGTTACACCGATCTAAAAGTCAACCGACGCCACGAACGCTGTTCGCGTTTTATTATATTCAGTTGCTAATCACACGCGTATACGCATATTATAATAAAGTCGTCTCGTAGGCGGTATTCAGTTGTTGAAAACGGAGAGGGGGTGTTTGGACAAAGTAAATGTTTATCGTTTCCCGTATACATAAGTATTTAAACTTTGTATTATTTTTCTCTCTCATTCTATCCTTCCCTATCTTTCTTTCGAATTATGTGATATCTAGACTTTTTTGTGTGTCGGTAGTGTTGCATCGAGTGGTGTGTATTTCGAACAAACAAGTTTTTACTCCGAGGGTTGTTTCTTTTAAGCCACGCGCGCTTTTCTAATTAATTACGCCCCGGTTGGCTTTTTCTAAATGCAAATAACGACATCATCATCATCGTCATCATATACGCCCTGCAACCTTCGCCACCGCGATCCACTGAGTGTTGGCATCGGTTCGTGGGCGAGCGAAACGAGAGGATTTCGAAAAAGACGCCATTTCTCCTTGCTTGCCGAGTTCCAATTAAAAAGTTCTCTCGTACATACATACATACATATATATATATATATATATTAAAATTGTTGTTGCGCATAAATATACGATTTTCGGCCTTTTTTGGACGTATTTTGGTGTTTACTGCGAAGGAGATAAAATACACAATCCATCAGTGTGTGTGTGTGTGTTCGTGTGTGTGTGTGTGTGTGTGTGTGTATTCGTGTGAAGGTGTTCTGCGGCTGCCACACGAGTAAACACGAGGTAAAAAGGCAAACATCTACCAGGTTTATAATTAAAACCTACCCCTTCCGAGTTTAGTGTTGTGTTTGCATACACTCTTCCTTCGGCCAAATCACGATTTTGAAATGAACATGCTCCATTCCACCGTTACCGAAGAAACGATGTCGTTTTATTTTCGTATTCATTTTGTCGACACGTTTTCGTTAACGGTTATTCCACGAGCAACACTGTGCCCGTTGCATTCAGTCAGCGCGGAAGAAATTATTTTAGTATTTTGGCCGCGTACACCTCGTTAATATCAATTATCGACGACAACTCGGGAAAGAGACAGAGATAGACCTAGGAATGGTCATCGAGCCAAGATGGAAAGGTTTTCTGTGGAATTTTTTAATGGTGCTACTTAGCCTGAAACGGTGGACCAGTAATAACGTTAATAGCATCGGTCCTTTTCTTGTACCGATTTTTTTTTTTTAAATACATCCAAATCGTATGCACTAGATACGAATCAGACTCGACTCCGGTATTCATGAGAAGTTTGCTGACTGATTAATATTTCTGTATCGGTCAACGGTGAACAGTTATTATGTTTTTCCCCTTCATTATCGATTGAATTTGATAAGTAATCGAATTTCGTTTTCACATTCCACTTGGGATGTCCAACCGTTTAAATGGTATTAATTTATTGGAACCTAAAACTGTGCTGCTCGTCTTAAGTAAAAAAAACGTTCCTTTGCCAATTAGTTGTCCGTTATACTTGAGTAATTTCGTGATGATTTTCTTATTAATTTATTCATCGACGACCTATACTGTCGTCTGATTTAAAAGAACGGACAACGCGCATCTGGTTAATACATTTTTTATAATTGAGCTATTGTTTTCTCTGTTCAATACTGCTTTATTGTTTTGATTATATTCGTTTAAATTTACGTTATTAAAGATAAAATGATTATATCTTACGAAGCCGGGTTATTTTTTTTTTTTTTAACAACGCGCCGTGGTTTCATTACGAGAAGAAGTTTTTGTGAACCGGGTGTACGTGTATGCGTGTGTTATAGCTTTTCTCTGGACATCGTAATTACAGTCGAACGTGGTTTCCCCCTTAAACATTGAAAATCGCTTTCGTTATTTGTCTAATGGACCTTCTATCGCCGCGGCGCAACCTCCCCAGACTAAGGGAGGACGGGAGATTCCGTACGAGGACGGACGAAAAGACGGTGGCAGCGACTTTTTTTCTTGTCCCCTCCCCCTCTTGTACTTTCCACCGTTGTGCTCTCCGAACATGTCGATTTCGGATTTCCCATTAAACGTCGTGATATTTCCGCTTCGCGGTGCGTGCCGCACACCGCGTTTCTTAGGAAAACAACCTTAGGAAATCTTCCGGTTTTTATCCTTTCCGCCTCACCCGAAGCCCTGCGCACCTTCGCGACGAGTACGTTTTTAATGATTTCGCCCGAGGCCGTGAATCGCGTGTAACCGTGTGTAGTATACGCATCGCTTGTACGCGGCACACGCTTGCAGTTCACATAGACCGAGAAGAATCGTACACAGAAATCAAGCCGCTCGGAAATCGTTATTATAAAAAAAAAAAAAAGAGAAAAAAAATCCCCTGGCGACGGCTGCGATGCGTGAGAAGGGCGTTTATTATTACCAGGTCTCTTAAAAACCGACGCTAAAGCCGCAGGCTCTTTTTCGTTTTCGACGGCAATCGCCGCCGTCATTTCCAATAGTCTTTCCGTTGAACGCGGGGGTGTGTAGCGGAGGTGAACGATCTAGTGGTTTTCAGGCAAATAATAATGTAAAACAATCGTTGGTTCTCCGGGATAAGAGAGAACACCGCTGCACACCGTCGTCATTGTTTTCCTTATGTTATTGTTTATTATATATATTATAATATTGTCCGTCTTACGCGCAGATTTTTTTATTATTTTTTTTTTTTTTTTTTACTCTGTTTCGCCAGGTGAAAAACGAAGGAAGAGTTTTGTTCCTTAACGCGGTCTGTATGAAATGTCTGGACGGCAAGGACGCCGACCGAAAACTCTGCTGTCGGTTCTGCGCCACCCAATGGGACGGCTCTTCGCTCATCATGGGCACCATGTACGCGTATGACGTGTTCGCCGCCATGCCGTGTTGCAACGAACGGCTCAAGGTGTGTACCCTTTTATTCACTCCGTTATTGAACGTATCGTTACCACGTTATTCGCTCGTTTGACCGGATTAATCCGTTGTATGTGTGTGTGTTTGTACCGACTTTTGTTCGAAGCATTCGGTGTATGTGTGTGTGTATGTATCGGTTGACTTTTTCTGACGTGTTCTTGGGCAAGTGTTAGACGTCTAGCGAACAACATCCGAACATCATTGAATGGCACTCGACTAATTAAGCGAAGACCGAAAATTCTCTTTTCATCGAAAACGGGCGACCGCGCCCTTGTTCGTTGTCGTAAGCCAGCGGATGATGTTACAGCAAGCAGCGGGTGTTACACAACCCCCGAGCGAAAAGGATTGTAAAAGTAATTTCGCAGCATTAAAACTCTCGCGATTTCTCGTCATTCGGCTAATTAATTTGCGTCACCAAAATGCACGTGGCTGCAAAATTCTGACGGATTTTTAAGACTCTTACGCCTTTGAAGTCCAAAAATAATCGCGTGCCGCGCTCCTCTAGTTCTCCTTGAGATTCCGTTTTCCCCAAAGGTGTGATTTCGTCGAGTCTCTGCATCAGTTGCATGTATATACAATAATCTCGTCTTAACACTTATTAATCGTTATTGTTCTGGAAACAAACGAGGGTAAGTAATTATTTTTTTGAACGTCGGAGCAAATAACATTTTTGCTTCCACCGTAAGGATGATTTTTCCATCGTCGTTGAAATTTATTTTTTATAACCATTTTTTTTTTTTTTTGCATTCGCAGTGCAACAGCTGCCAAAAAGCGTTGATGATGCCGCACCAGCGACTGAACTACTATAGCGATTACAGTCGCAAAGTCACTTGCCCGCACTGCGCTTCCGTCGAGTATCACTTTGTCAAGCCGCTCGCGTTGCACTACACCAGGCAGTGGCCATAACATACGGCCTCGGCCCCGACCGTTATGGCCGGGGCCGGTAGCCGCCAACAGGCAGCCGCCGCCAGTGCTTCAGTGACTTCTGCCGCCGCAATCGCGAGCCCACCGGAAATAGTGCTTCAACAACAACAGCAGCAACAACAACAGCAACAACACGTAGCACCCGATTACACGTCGGTGGCCATCGAAAAACTACTCCATTCCATATGGGACACTAAAGTAAACGACATCATGGCCGCTATCAATCATTTGGGTTTAGTTTAACTGCTTTACTCACCTTTTTAAATATGCAGACAAGTATAAAAAAATGATTTTTCTTTTTTCCAAAACAAATAAGGTGTTCATAGTTATTTATATATAAATATGTATTTCTTATTCTTTTTTTGTAGTTGTTCTATCATTATTACGTTTGTGGTTTTTTGAAAATCAAAAAAAAAAATTTAAAAAACAAAAAAAAACATTTAATATTTATTAAGATTGAAAATATTATTAGGTACATAGTGATTTTCTAAAAAAAAAAAGACGAGTAATGTATAAGTATTTTTTTTCGTTGATGTTTTGTACAGCGGTCACCGTTGAGAAAATATTTAACAATAATCATTATTGTACAATTAAGACGATTACGTTTTTCGGTCAGGTTTTCACGTGAAAACATGACCCTATCGGCTGCTCCTCCGAGGGAAAAAAAAATTTCCGTATCGGTTGACAATTTTTTTGCGGAACGACGACGGTATAGTATAACAACATGTCTTCGCACTGTACGAATATGATTATTTTTTTCTTCTTCAGTAGTTGATTATACACGTAGAGTAGAATATTGTGTTCTCCTAGTTTATCATTTTTTTTTCTTTCTTTCATGCTCAGTATACCACGTGGTTCTCTTATCACGTCTTTGTCGCTCTCTAACAAAATTTTTACATCGTTCTCGGAATCAGGAGTAGTTTTGCGTTTCTTTCGATTTCGAGTGAGTGAAAAGAAAAAAGCGTCGGCGTTTTTAAGAAGACCGCGCGAGTATTTAGCTAGTGTTACTATTATTATTATACACCGTAATGTATGTTATACGCGCGGTGGTGTGTGTGATATTATCGGTGTCGATTTGTAGATTTTCAATAAATTTACGTGACTACTGCTGGTTGTGTATAAAATCACGTGTATCCTTAGAACAACAGTACAACATAATTAAATACGTAGAGTACAATATTAAAATAACGAAGTAAATCGAAATTATATTTGAGCTGTAAAACCGATATATATATATATATAATAATGTGTCCAACGATTTTGTCTATATACGACACGTACCTGCGCGCGCACGGATCGATGTTGATGAATACTACTATTGCGTTTTGTAATAATAATATTAGTCGACTTCGTTCTCGTGCCCGCGGTTGTTATGCCGCTCGAGCTTTGGCGACTGGACACTAGCAACAACGGTGAAACTATTATTATCATTATTGTAATGCGGTTTGTACTCGTGCACGTCCGTGAAATGTGTGGTTTAGAAACTATATATATATATTACTCTTGCTCTTATGCTCAATTACGCGCTACCTCTTGTTTTGTTTACCAATCGTACTATATGTTAATTAACGAAGCAACAAAGAAGGAACAGTTTTTAACGTGTGTTAATATTATATATGAAAAAAAAATTAATTTAAACAAAGAATAATAGTATACGGATTTTTGTTTTTTTTTTTTTTTGGGGGGGGGGATTTTTTTTCTTTCTTCGATTTTTATTATTATTATTACCAGTATGATTTTGTTGGTTTCTATATCCTTCGGGGACGCCAAATATACATATAAAAACAAAAAAAAAATTACAAATCTTTTGAAAACATATACCTCAGCTACCTCGGGTGTTCACATTATCTTATTATAATGTGGACGTGAATACTCTTTTAGTTAATTTTTAAATTTATTTTAGTCCAAGTTGATTTTTTTTTTTACTTCTTTCCTTTATATATTATTTTATATTGTTAAATATATCGTGAATCGTGATTTTTTATGCTTTATGTTTTGTTATTATGCACTAATAGTACAACATTAAACAAATTATGTTTTTAATTAATGATTATTTATATAGTCTAAATAAGTAGGATTATAAATTAAAAAAAAAAAAGTAAAAAAAAAAAAAAACGGAACGGATCGTACAAATGGGAATACTTCATTTTATTAATATTATTAGCAATATTATATCTATAATATATGGATTTTTTATTATCGGCGTGAAATTAACTATTTTAAACAAATTAAATCATAATTCTAGGAGAGTTTTTGATGTTTTTAATTTATCGCCGTGATTATTATTATTATTATTATTATTATTATTTTCGACATAATATTTTGTCTGTACCTGTTCAAAAACATATGTTTAACTCGTTACAGCGCATTTGTTAGTGTATAGATAGTGTTACAAAATGATCAAACCTATACTTTTTGAATAATTGAATATTTCAATTGGTATGGCTGTAATTGCTACTAGATTTTAACTCGTGTACAGTTATTATATTGAGTATTATCATCATCATTAATATTTTTTATTATTATTATTATGTATGTGTAAAGGATTTTCCTTTTTTTTTCTTTTTTCTGATTGGGTGCGAACCATGTTATTAGTAAGGTTTTAAGTATTTCGTAGAGATTTAGAGTGGTTTGTGATTTTTGTGTAATTGTTAAGAGTTTTTTTTTTTTTTTTTAATTTCGTTTCTCGTCATAGGAGAACATTAGAGATACCTGCTATAAAATAAGTAGTTTATTTTTAAATAACCTTTAAATTGTCTGATCATATACATATATTTTTTTTTTGTTCGATTACGAGAAAAGAACTCAAAACTTAGTTTTTTTTTATCTAGTCAGTGTCTAAATTAACATTAAAGCGAAAATAAATAATTTTTAAATATTAAATAAAGTAATAAAATGTATTTGAATATTTATGTATAAAAAAAAAAACAATTCAAACTACCTATTTTATAGTTTTTACACATTTTGTTTTTATATTTCCTTTAGCACTTTTTTTTGTTAGCATTTTTACAATTTAGTTAATTTTTTTTCTTGTGCGTGTATCTATAGCAATAGTTTAAATTTTGGTGACGGTGTCACGGTTTTTTTTTCCTTAATTTTATTTTAACTCGCTAAGTATTAGGTGTCTGGCTGTAGGGAGACGACAGTGTGACGCCGCGGGCGTCTCGTTTTGTTTTGAGGATTTTTTTTTTTTTGTAATTTTATTTTCATTATACACCGTCTGGCGAACGAGATGTTTTCTAAGTGGATCGGGTGACATATGCGTGTAGAGAGGAAGAAAGGATAGTAATAATATACAAAAAATAAAGGAGAATAAAAGACAAGAATAATCAGTTTAGCGCTTCGTATATTGCGTGATTCGAGCCATGTTCTTGCATGGCGATGAAACTTTCACGGAAAAACAATATGACCCAAAAATGTGTTCAAAATTATTAATTATTAAAATCGTATTTCCTGGTTGTGCAAAACCCGCGCAAACGAAAATATTTGTCCTGTTTTCGTGCAGTGCAGTGGTTCACGTCGATTAGCTGCTGCCCAGGGTGTATTTAATTAGTATATTATAATAAATCAGATTTCTAAGTATGTTTTAAACACAATTCGTGTTTAATACATTAATTTACAGTAAAATATGTAATGATGAAAAAAAGAATAAAACTTTTGCAATTCTGGCTCACGATTAATGTAGGAACAATCGTATTCGGGATAATGTGGTTCATGTTATTAATTCAACATATACAGATCTTACCGTATATTTTCTGTGGATACTATATTTCTTACCTCTCTCGCCGTGTTGTCGGTTCAATTTAATTATAATATATCATAACGTATACTCGGAACGATTTCTAACCTAAACTTTTTATTTTTATAATATATTTCATACTTTTACAGCGCAATATTGTACTTAAAATAAAAGTCTATAATCATTATTTTTCATTTTAACATCAAAACAATTTAACTCCCTTCTTGTATCCATTCTCACCCTGATTCCTTCCGATTCTTCAACTAATCTTGTGCCGTTTATATTTCCGTTCGTTATTTTCACAAAACTCTCATTTTTCGGTATAATTCTTTCAGAGTTTTTCGTTTTAATTCAAATCCGTAAACGCATCGTGTGTTACCGTTGTTTTTAATATTATTTTATTTTTATTTTTTTAAAGTAGTAAAATACGAGTATAGTTTTTTATAAATATATATACACATAAACAGTAGGGTGTTTAGATTATAGAGAGTGAATTATGTTTCGTAACGATAATACTTATATAATGTATTACTTAAAAAATAATTTTAATACTTGTATGATATTTTAAAATAATAATATAAGAAAGTCATTCGACTAACAAATCCAATATAAAAAATAAAATTAATTTTAACTAATAAATAGGTACAGTATATTATAATTATATTATATGTGTATTAAAGTATTAAAAATTCGTCGGTTCAAAGTACAAAAAAAATCACCTGTCCACTATGTGTTAGACGCCTATTATATTGTATTTATTATATATTATAAAAAATGTTGAAATTTATTCAGAAGTGTAAAAGTGTTGGTGTAGAACGGATTAGTGTTAATAAATTTAAGGCCTAATGATGAGTTTTTTTTTTAAAAATTGTTTTTATTTTCTCATAGAAGATTTAAGACTTATAGGTTGCCCATCCCCATTTTTATTATTATTATATCAAATTATACAGATACATATTATATTTATGTTTATATAAACGGTAAAGTTTCAACAAGAAGTTTATAAAGTCTGGTAGGAAACATCCTATGTTTATTGTTTGTTTTTTTTATTATTATTATTATTATTATTATTATTATTATCATTATTATTTATATTAATATTATTTTAGATAATTTGTTACGTATTCGTTTTTATATTACCAATTCATTGTAGAGATTTTCTCAAGAAGTACTTTTTTTTTTCTTTCAATATATAATTTTAATAAACTTGAAAATAAAAACTTATCGTTGTTTTTGTATAATATGATGATGAAATACTACAACAT